TGTTTGACAATCCTTCTGATAGCCCAAATACTATAAATTTAGTTGATGATAACAGAACAGATGGAAAAACATATGGCTTGTAGGTAGTGTGTGGTGGTTGGTATTTGTGATACATTAGGGGAATTTATTTTATTTTGTCTCTTTTCGTGTGTAACTTGGTGATATTTTATCAAGTGAATTTTATATGGCTTTTGACTTATTTCTAGAGTAGTATTACACTCTTTGTGACTTGAACACACCATTTTAAATAGTTGGTTTTATAACTACTTCAGAGCACACATTTCAGTACCCAGGCAAGACCTTCATTCAGGGAAAGATTCCTTAGTTGTTGGCACTCTGTGGACAGAGATTACACAGGTAAAAAAGGTGAACATTTATGGAGACCAATTCAAGCAAAGCTTATTAAAGATCTGTTTAGCTGAGATTTCGATTAGAACATGTGTCTAAAAGTCTACCCATATCCCATAGGTCTAGATTTAATATTGATCTTTGTAACTTCACATTTTCCAAAGAAAACTTGGTTTTAAAAAAAAAATCAGATGTGCTTCAAATACTGTTTTCATTCTGTTAGGTGAAAAAGGGAAATAATGTGCAGGAAAAAGAAAGCTATAAACACATTTATTTATATGTGACATTCAGCTTGATTTGTTCTTAGGCTAGACAGTGGCCCTCAGAACCCTGCATCACTTTGAAGTTTATCTGAATTGAAATGCAACTTCCTGATGCTTGCCTGTTAGCAATTTTGTAGCTTTTTTTTTTAAAGCTAAGTATTTACTTTTTAAAGTGTTTTTTAAACACAAAGGACAGGATGAAAAAAGATATTTCTCCTTAAAGGGAATAAAGGATAAAGGTAGACATAGCAGTGGGACATACTTTAAATCAGTATTGTGAAAATCTCTATAGCTGCTGTTTGTTTAACAGTATGCCTGTATTGAAGTCATTTAATCTTAGATTCTTGGTAAATCTTCTTCTATCAAACTCTTCCAGTTTCTTCATATGATGGTTCCCCCTTTGCCTTGCCTTTGACAGCAATGTATGGATCTGTATTTCTGATTACCTTTGGGAATAAAAGACTTTCTTTAGACTTTACACACATTACTTCTCCCTAGATGAATTTTATTAGTTCTCTTTGTTACCCATGGTTTGAGCTTGCCTTCATACATACAAAGTCAACTAAACTGGATGAGAAGAAAAGAAGTCATATTAAATTGATTCTCCCATAAACATCCATATAGCATGGGTTTCTGACTCCCTCTTAACAATGGACAAAGAGTAGAACATTACAGCTAGGCAAATTTTAGACTTCCGATTAAGCTTTGAATGATTAGAAAAGTCCCTATCAAACATGCTTTATACTTTTTTTAATAGCCCCTCCCCCCTTTTTTTTAGCAGTTTCTCACAATGCAATGCATGGGGAGATACTTCTACTTCTGTCTCTGTGCACATCACCTCTCCACCGTTATCCTTTACTGGATGTCTGCATTTCTAACAGTTGTTAAAAATATGTGGCTAATGGTTACCACTTAAGGCTGGTCTCCATTAGGTGCTCCTTTGGGTTTGTACAGCTAACTGCTTTGGAGGGGTCTATAGTGTTGTTTACCCACCACTGTGGTATCACCTAGGATGTTTTCGCCATCCTACATAGCTTCTGTATGTTCCCCCACTTCTCATCAGCCCTAAAATCACTCATCATTTTTTCCCACCATCTCCACATTTTGACATTTTAAAAAAAGTTCAGAATGCCATATCCACTCACTCACTTAGGGATATTTAGGTTGCATTCAGGTTTTGACAATTTTGAGTAAAGCTACCAAAAACATCCATGAGCAAGTTTTTATGTGGGCATAAGTTTCCAGCTGCTTGGGATTTTCAGATCCATACAATAGGGCCTCTGATAGTGGATCAATATTTATCTCTAGTATAAGAATGGACTTTGGGAGCCCATTCAACATAGAGGGAAGCTCTCTCAGCCTAGACACATGGAGGTGGGCCTAGGCCCTGCTCCAAATGATGTGACAGACTTGGAAGACTCCCCATGGAAGTCCTCACCCTCCCTGGGGAGCAGAAAGGGGATGGGGGTTGGTGGGGGGAACAGGGGAGGACAGGAGGGTGGGGAAAACTAGGTTTGACATGTAAAACAAGCTTGTTTCAAATTTAAATTAAAAATTATCAAAAAACAAAAAACAAAAACAAAAACAACCCAACCAAACCAAAAAACAGAACAAACAAACAATAAACAAAACCCAAAACCAAAAACCAAACCAAAACAGAAAAAAAAAAAACAAAACAAAACACCAATATGCCCACATCTAGTGTAGTAAGAAGCTGCCAAGCTGTCTTGCAAAGCAGCTCTCATGTTTTGAATTCTCACCAGCAGTGGATGAGAGTGTTTCCAAAGCCTTGCAGTCACAGTTAATGGGAAGATGCAGGGGCTACTCCTGCATCCCTTTGGCCTTCCGATCACCACAGACCTCTAAGAAAACTAATGATGAGTACCTTAGCAACATCATTTGGCTGTTGTCAGTGCTCTGTACTGTGGCCATTGTATTCGGTATGTAGTAATACCTTACTGCTGTTTGAATGTTTATTTCTTGGATGAAAAATGATGCCATCTTTTTATATTCCCATTTATTGTCTTTGCTTGTTCACTGGTGAAGTGTTTACCTTATATTTTTGTTTTGTTTTTAAATTGGGCTTTTTTCCCTCTTATTGTTGAGTTTTAGGAGTTTTTGTCATACAAATCTTTTAAAAATTCTTCCCTCTAGTTTGTGGCCTGTCTTAGCCTTCTCTTGAGTGTGACTTTTGCCCAGATGAAGTCCAATTAATCAACTATTTAATCCATGTTCCATAACTTTGGTGTTATAGCTAAAAAAAAAAATCACTAAAACTAGGGTCACTTAGATATTTTTAATGTTATGTTTTAGAATCCTGTAGTCTCACATTTCATGTTGAGGTCTGTGGTGCATCTGTAGTGAGTTTTTGTGAAGCAAGTGGGTTTCTATCTCTATTTTCTCTCCCATTCCCCTCCCCCCTCAATGTCCAATCCTTTTGGACATCACATTATTTCAGCTTTACTTGTGGAAAAGACTCAGCTTATTTAAATCATAGCTTATGTGGTTCTATTTACAGGCAAGTGTTTTTGCTACTTGGCTAAGTCTTGTGTTTTCTTCAATAAAACAATGCTAATCACAAAAAAGTAAAGCCAGTCGACAGTCTGTGATCCCTTGTACACTCAATGACTGCTCACATCTCTTCCCACTCCTCTGTGTTACAGCAAGCCTAGCATCAGTGACTTCGCCTGAGCTCCCAGCCCAGGAAAAAGGACAGTCTGTTTCATTACATTGTCCCATAATTTTTGTCTTCTCATGTTTACTCCTTGTTTTTCAAGGATGTACATTTCTCCTATCTAATTAGCTTCCCTTCCACTATAATCCATTCTTCCCACTCATGAGTGGGTTAATATCTATTCAATGAGATTGGATCCCCCTTAAGGTTTATAAAAATTGTGGTAAGGCTGTTGTCTATAACCTTAATTTATAGTGAAATAGTCTCATTAAAGCTGCCTTCTAAATGGAATGGGTCCAGTAAGTGAGGGCTTGTTACTGCTTAATGGATGCCTAAAGTGGCCCCTATACATTTTTTTTTTCCAGAAATGGCTGATTTAACCCGCTTGTGAAAAGTATCCTCACTAGAGGCAATCATGGTTCCAGTTGACATCTATTCCACAGCTCCTTTCTCCATCATATCTATGGCTGTCAGCACTAAGTTGTTTATCACATGAGTTAGGCATCTGTCACCTTGTTGACTGTCTGTCCCACTGCTGTGTTTGGTCTTTATCTAAACTAATGGGAGCTGCAGACAGAACTCCAGATTTTGGGATAAGCTCACTTGAAACACATCTTTCCATCTTTGTGCTGATGTCATGAAGTTGTTATGTATTTGGCTTCATTTGTTTCAGATTGAGTTTTGCTTTTAGAAATTGCCTTTATAATGTACTTGTCTTAAACATAAACATATTTTTTTGTGTGTGGAAAAAAAAGATGGGGAGGGGGAACCATGATAAATATATTGCATGAATTTTTAAAAATTTACTTTAATCAGAGTCTTATTTCCACCCCATCTGCCATACTCAATTACCCAGGGTTACCATTTTTATTCATTTTGCCTTATATTACTAGTGTTTTTCTTACTTCTGCAAATATAATTAAATATATGTGATGTATAGTTATATGTTGCCATACACATACATGCATAAAATATCTAAGAATGTAAGCCTTTCACGGCTGTAGAATGTACGTATGTATGTATGTGCATATCACAGCTGTAGAATATATGTATGTAAGTCTGGCAGGGCTAGAGAGACTGCTGAGCTTCAGTGTTCTGGTTGGATTAGGGAGAGATGGCTAACAACTGAACATTTACTTTTACCTTTTTACCTGCTGGAAAGGGAAAATTAGTTTCCTCCAGTGGAGTGACACAGGGTATATCAAATATCAACCACTCCAAGACAGGAATCATGCTCAGGAGTAATTGACCAACACATAATGGACTCCATAGTTTTTTTTTTTTTTTTTCTGTGCATTAATTGGTGGTTTGTTTTATTTTTTATTTTTGGGTGGTGTTGTATTTTGTGTTCTTGGCTTTGAATTTTGTTGTTGTTGTACTAGATTTTGAGAGAGAACTTAAAGTTGGGTGGGTAGGGAGAAAAGGGATCTGGATATACTGGGGGAGGTGAAGAATATGACCAAAATATATTTAAATTTAAAAATTGTTTTAAATAATATAAAATATAATAAAAAATAAGGAAAACAGAAAGTGTTTTTAGGAATGAGATTTTGAAACCATCAGTAAGGGGCTAGCTAATCTTTTGCTCTACAGGAACATTTCTGCATAGGATGGTAACTCTTTTGGCTTCTTACTGTTGTTCGGTGATCATCAGGGACCCAAAGTCATTCTGTGATGTCATAGCTATCAGACTGACTACCTTTATGATGTCACCACTTGCTTTCATCTGTGGAACTATGCTCCAATGAAAGCTGCAGAGCACAAAGCCGTTCAGATGTCTTTGTAGGTAATGTAAAGTGTGCAGGAAATGGCAGAGGCACCTTCAGAAATTCTGGATGCTTCCCGTCATGACATGTCAACTGATTCAGAGACCCCTTCCAGCTATCCTCTGTGTGATGACACAGGTCAGGGGGACTCAGATTTGTGGGCTATTATTGAGGAGAGTGCGTTTCAGGTTCTGGCTCAGCGGTTCTTGATAAAAAGGTCCTCTCATTCCCTCTGTGCCTCAGAGCCGGATGAGGACAGTAATTTATTCTCTATGACCTTTCCCAGGAAGCTTTGGAAAATAGTGGGAAGTGACAAATTTAAGTCTATTTGGTGGGATGAGGCTGGGACTTACATAGTGATCAATGAAGAACTCTTCAAAAAGGAAGTGTTGGAAAGAAAGGCCCCCTTCAGAATATTCGAAACCGATAGCATGAAAAGTTTGGTTCGACAATTGAACCTGTATGGATTCAGGAAAATGAGACAGAATTTCCAGAGATCTGCTTCCCTCCCTGACTTTCTGGCTGAAGAAAAAGGAGTCTCTGCCTCATGTAAATTACAGTTCTATCAGAATCCAAACTTTGTGCGTGATTGTCCCCATCTTATAGAAAGAATGAAGAGGAGAATTGGAATAAAGACAGCTTCTCGTGGGACTACTCCGTCACCTCCAGAGTTTAAGAACAAACACTTCAGCCCAGACTTGGACAACATGGATGACCATGGTTTGGGTGTAGCTGTTCAAACCAGAAAGAGGAATCTATTGTCCAGCCCTAGCATCTCAAATGTATATCTGAGACAGAAATCTACTGCCCACGGAGGTTCTGATACAGTGGATGGGATCAGAAGGGACTTTTCTCTTGCAACATCGAGCTCCTTTAGACCACCTGAAAAAATACTAACACATCGCCCTGCTCCCTTAAATGAGGTGTCCCCTCTCCATATGGACTCACAGAGAATCTACACCCAAGCAAATGACAGCACTGTGAATTTCATTATAACCTCTATTCAAAACCACCGGGATGTGTCCCACTTGTGGAACAGTTGTATTGAAATGCAGGCAGAACCGTCTTTTCAACCTGGGTATCCTCATTTTTCATCCAGTTCATCTACTTATTCTGACTCAAAAGCAATTGGTGAACCCAAGTTACCACTATACAAGGAAAGGGTAGCATCCAGGGTAGTGTCCTCTACCTTGGCATCAGCATTGAGTCATCATCCATCCTCATGATGCTATCAGCTTTCTGATCACCAACAATCTACTTGGTGGTTTATAAAAACATTCAGGATATCAGAGATTAGAATTCATGTTGACAGTCACCTGGGGTATACCTGAAATCATCTCAATAGAACAATAAAACTCCATGTGCACTTTAAAAAAAATAAGGCTACTGGCTGGTCTTCTGGAGCTCCTCAGTTTGAGACTCTGCATTCACATGGCAGCTACTAAAGCTCAGTAACTCCATTCTAGGCTATTCAACACCCTTTTCTGGATTCCATGGGCAGTACATACATGAAGTGTGCATACATACTTGCAGGCAAAACATATCCACACACATAAAAATGAAATATTTGACTTAAAGAGGAATGTATATATGTATATTGTTAACTCTGTACAAATATATTTGTGTACACATATGTAGACTATATACATATATAAACACATACTGCATATTAAATGTGATATATTTACACATGCACACAGACACACAGAAATATGGTTTTAGATTTTGATTCTTTCCACTTTGCAAAATGCCAAAACATTACCCATTTCAGCATATAGTCCTCTTCATTTTTCTTTCATAAATCTACAAAATGTACCATAGTTCAATTACCTTTGTTCAATGGGCCTGAAGGCAGGTTCTGATAGTTTTCTGTTGTAGAAAGTATACACATGTAGCCTTGATTTTTTTCCTTTTGGCTTTGAGTGTTTTAAAGCCTTAAACTGTAGAGTTCTATTTCTTGAATAGTCTAGGTTTTCTAGGGAGGAAGGCTAATCATATTCCTTTCATAAAGAACTTGGGACTATTATATTTAGTGAAAATTTAAATTTACATCTCAACCTTTAGGTGGCCTCCATTCATAACCTCTATATATTAAAGTATATAGGGTAAGGTCACACATAATATGTGACTTTTCTAAAGTTCAAAAATTTGGAGCATTATATAGTGTATTTGTCGTTCATTATTATCTGTAGTATTCTCATGTTTTTATAAGCAGAAATAGATGCTGCTAAGCATTCTCTTGAATATTAATTGAGAAAACAGTCATGAAATGTCTCTATGTATGGTACTGTACAGGGTGTATACAACTCTGAGCACTGTCTCCCATGATGCTCTGCTGTATCTGGGGTTAGCCATGTTCCCCAGGCTAAGGTGATTTGCAATTTTGGAAATCAGGATTTTTATCTGAAAACATGGGAGCCATAATTCCTACTTTGATTGTTTCATGGGAGTCCTGGAAGAAGCAACTGCAGTGATGAATGTGAAGTAGCTTGCTAAAATATAAAGAGCCATAAAATCTATAGAATAGTTATTGTTATGGTCGTAGTATATGCTCTTAAGTGTTTCGCTATTATCTTCCCCAACAGACTCAGCTGTCTGAAAAGCTCTAGTAGAGTCATTGTTCCTTTGATATTTCCTCAAAGCAGCTGCTACAGAGGAACAGACATGGGATTTATGTAACATTTTGTTTTACTGAGTCACATACCAAGGGTCTCAAAAACTCAAATTTATATAGAGGCTACACAGAGAACATCTGTAAGGTCATGGGAAGAAGCTGAAGAATTAATTCCAAGACTAAAGGTGTTCAAATTAATGTTCAGAAATATCACTGTAAAGAAAACAAATAGGCAAAGGTTGCATTCAGCACTCTGTGTACTTACTGTGAGATGGGCTTAATAGCAATGTTCTGTTTGGGAAAGGAATCTCCCCCTCTTTCATACCCTGCATAACCTTAATGATGTAGGTATTGACAACCACAGTCAAATCATCATTGTAATAACCACTAAATGTGAAAACAATCACATTGTGATCTGTTAAGTAAATTTCTATAAGGCTATAGGCTATGTGTTTACTAGTAAATGTATGTTTGTGTGATTCACATAATATATCCTGTGTTGTTACTAGTGAAATATAGAGTATCCTATATCCTTTTAGCTTGTGTCAGACACACCCTTTGTAAGCACTTTATTATGTAATTTTTTTATTATTATTCACAAGCACCCCTCGGTTGGATGTTATTGTGTTGCTTTGCACAAAAAGTTTATTTTTAATTCATTTATATTTGAGACAGGATCATACTATGTGTACCTGACCATCCTGGAATCTTCTATGTAGATTAGATCAGAGTGATGCTCCCATAGCTCTGCCTGCTTCTGCCTCCTGAGGGCTAGGATTAAAGGCGTGAACCTACGCACCTGTCTGCTTCTGAGTCACTTTTATCTGGTAGGTACTATCAAGCATACCTGGTCAACCTTCATATTTTGCATGGCTCTTAAGAAATGAAGAGCCAAGGCTGTCACGGACTTTGAGAAGAGTGTCCCATATCTTTTGTCAAATTAACATTAGGTTCCAAATGTTTAGTTAGCATTGTCTGTAATTTCTTATTCTTCCTTTTCTTTCTAACTTACTATTTTATGTTTCACCCTGTAATCCTGATAGGGGAGGTCCTTGTGTATGTTGTGTATGCTATGAATATATGTTTCTCTTATTGTTTTAGTAACATGCTGATTGGCCAGTAGCCAGGCAGGAAGTATGGGTAGAGCTACCAGTTTAGGAGAATGCTGGGAAGAGGAAGGCAGAGATACTCTGTGTAGTTTCTGGGAAGATAGAATGTCTTGGCATTCTCCAGTAAGCCAAGACCATACAGAAATACTTAGATTAATAATTATGGGTTAACAATTAAGAGAGAGCTAGCTAGTAAGAAGCCTAAGCCATTGACCAGTTTATGATTAGTATAAGTCTCAGTGTACTTATTTGGGACTAAAGGGCAGCAGGACTAGGCAGAGCAGAACCTCTGTCTGTAGTAACCTACCTCAAAACCTTGTTGAAAAAAGCTAGGGCATAAATGGTAGAAATCCCCAAGTATGTGCATATGAGAGAAGAGAGTAATTTGTCCCCGTTGTAATTTCCAGTAGAGCTGTGTAAGCAGCCATCTCACATGACTTTCTATAAGTAATTAAACTAAAAGCTGTGGTTTCTAATTCTTTGCTTTTCAGCCAACTTTGCTTAATTTTCCTTGCAAATCCTTTAAAGGAAAAAAAAAAAAAAGAGCCTTCTTTCAGTGACTTGAAGTTTGGAATGGGGAAGAGCCACACCTGCCTTAAAGATTCTTCAAGGCTGATTGACCAATTAAAGCCTCATAGTCCTGGAAGGCAAGAATGTTGTTGATCCAGTGGCAAATTTTTGTGATTGTATAGCCATTCATTTCCCACATGTGACTGACCTATCATCCATGCAGCTATCAGTAAAGCCTTCTGTCACGTGTCAACAGACTATTATCTTCCACCAACCCCGAAGCTAAGCGTGTCATCAGAGAGCATTTGAAAGCTATAGGAGAGATTCCTCCACTTTACTGTAACCTATCTATGTGGTGCCTTTATTTGAAAAGTGCCTTGACTTGTGGCTCTATTCTGTTTTCTAAGTGCACAAGTGTCAGACAACTCTATCCATATTGGAGCACACTATTTAGAGCAATCTGAATCTGTGTTCCTAGGCCATAGTCACTCATGTTTGTGTTGAGAATGAATCTCTTTTCATAATCCCTTTGAGTTGAGAGGTGTTTATTATCAACAGACTTGGATGCTCGTCACTCATTTCTCATCTTTTTCTGTTGTCTTGTCATCATAGTCATCACAAGAGAAACACATTAGATTTCTAGTACTTTTGCTCTGCTTTTCTGGCTACATATTCTGCTAATGAGTTGCAAATGGAAGTGCTTAGGGCAAGTCACTTCTGAGCCACATCACTGATCTTCCCCCACCCCACTCCAAGGAGACAAGGTTTCTCTGTGTGACAGTCCTGGAACTCCCTTCCTAGACCAGGCTGGCTTTGAACACAGAGATCCACCTGCCTCTGCCTTCCTAGTGCTGGAATTTAAGGTGTGCGCCACCACCTGTGAGGCACTGATTTATTTTTGAGATACCCTTTGGTGTACTTCTCTTTGTTGTCAACTAACAATGTAAGATTTGTTTCCTGTATTTTCTAAGGTCTCTGACTGGTGACCACTGTTAGTTTGTATGTCGTCACTGAGCATTTAGAACACTTTCCTATCCAAACATCCTTGACTATCCTAAGTGATACAAAAACAACCCCCAACAAATCAACAATTAGAGTCCTGCACTGCAGGTCAATTATGCTTCTCACTGAGTAGCAAAGAGGGGACAAGGTTCTAAAAACAGAGCAAATCTGTAGAGATTTTGGAACTTGCCTTGGAACTCAAAAGTAATAAAAATCATTCAAAATGAGAACTATTATCTGTCAGAGAAAGAACTCTATACCTGATCATCTCATAGCTTAGCTTTGCTCACATTGAAATCAAGAACAACAACAAAATTGCTCCCCGTGACAACCTGAATATCTGGATAATGTGTTTACATACTTTTCATCAGTCCTGGGTTTTTTGACACTTCCTACAGTTAGAAGTGAATGAGAATCCAGAGGGAAATAATGAATGGATTCAGCCCTCATTTGCGTTGACTCAAAAGGCAATTTTTACATTTTCAGAGACTGAAGGCTGTCATTTGGAGAAATTGCTCAAGGATAAAGATATCCCACCAGGTAAAGGAGAAGCTCGGCTTCCTCCTCTTCGGTTTCCAGTTTGCAGGTGGACTGGAAGAGGAGGGTTTCATTGCTGGGTGATATTGCTCACTAAGGACCCTACACTCCTCCATGCTCAGCAGTAAGTGTGCTTCTCAAAGGAGCAAACTGCCCATGTGCCTTTTTGTTGATGCAGAAGCATTTTTGGAAGAAAGCATTGAGGAGGGACTGCCTCACCCCTGAGAAAAATGGCTCCCATCTGATGATTCTCTGTTTCCTGGGGTTCTTGTCTGGATGTTACTTAGGAAAAATAAGGTTTTTGTTTGTTTGTTTGTTTTGTTTTGTTTTGTTTTGTTTTTTAATTTTCCAGGAAAACAAATGCTAACTGGTTCTTCAAATGGTAACATGTACCAACTCAGGTGTGGCTTAGCTAGACCAAGATGGAAGACAAAGACAGGTTTCTTGAAGTCAAAAGCACTCATGCCTCATTAGAGCTGTTTAGAAAGTTGGACACTGATTCCCCCTTTTGCTATTTGATATCAAAGCCATAGCTTTATGATTATAGGCAAGTGCTGTGCTGCTATGGTACACTCCTAACCCTCAGACTTGGGCATTCTC